TGCTGGTGCACGTGAGGGATTTCCAGCGCTTCTCACGGCACGAGCCGCTGGGCACGCTCAGCCTGCCGCTGGGCACCGTGGATCTGCAGCACGTCCTGGAACTCTGGCTCCCGCTGGGCCCGCCGGGCTCCGACGAGGTGAGGCCACTGACCTCCAGGCTCCGGCCCGGCCCTGGCAGCCGTGCCGGCAGGGACACTGAGGCCCCTCTCACCGCCCACAGGCTGAGCGGACGGGGGAGCTGTGCTTCTCGCTCCGCTACGTGCCCAGCTCAGGCCGGCTGACCGTGGTCGTGCTGGAGGCCCGGGGCCTGAGCCCGGGGCTGACAGGTAAGAGGCACGCCCGCCCCTCCGTGTGGACGGAGGGCCCCGTGCTGGGCGCTCAGGCCCGGATCGCGGTCCCGCCCTCTCGCTGCCCAGAGCCCTACGTGAAAGTGCAGTTGATGCTGGACCAGAGAAAGTGGAAGAAGCGGAGAGCGTCCGCCAGGGGGGCCACGGCCGCCCCCTACTTCAACGAGGCCTTCACCTTCCATGTGCCCCTCGGCCAGGTCCAGGTGGGCTGCCCGGAGGGGGCGGGCGGGTCCTCACTGGGGGCCAGACTGACCGCCGCCTCTGTCTCTCCGCACTGCACGTCCGCCTGCCTCCCCCAGAGCGTGGATCTGGTGCTGGCCGTCTGGGCCCGGGGCCCGCGGTTCCGGGCCGAGCCCGTGGGTAAGGTGGTGCTGGGCGCCCGGGCCTCTGGCCAGCCCCTGCAGCACTGGGCAGACATGCTGGCCCACGCCCGGCGGCCCGTCGCCCAGTGGCACCGCCTGCGGCCCCCCAGCGAGGTGGGCCAGGCCCTGGCCCGAGAGCCCCGCCTGCGCCCGCCTCTGCCCGGCTCCTGAGGGCGAACCCCAGCCTCGGCCTCCCTGGGCTGAGCTGCGGGCACCTGTCCAGGCCCCCCCGGGGGCCACCGCAATAAATACCTCTTTCCACCACCGTCACGTGTCCTTTCTGAGCCCTCGGGGACACAGTAGGGTCAGGGACCCCTCCTGAGGACAAGGAGAGGCCAGGTCCTGAGGCCACTGACCAAGGCCTGAGCCCTGGGAGAAGTGAAGGGGGCCCTTCCAAGCCCACCGGGGACGAGACCAGCGGGAGACACCCTCCCAGCGTGCGGGCTGGGGCGTCAGGCGCAGTGTGGGACGAGGCGGGCTAGCCACGGCCGCACAGGCACATGGCGGGCGATCGGGAGACGCCTGGGGGGTGCCGATGCTGGAAGGGACGAGCCCCAACCCCAGGGCCCCCACCAGGTCCTCTCAGAGCCCCAAAACCTTCGGGAGAGCAGCTGCGGGGCCTCCCACGAGCGAGCAGCAGGGGGCAGTAGCAACCTTCGGAGCGGTGGGGCCTCTGGGGGCTCGGGCTGGCTGGGAAAGAAGCAGCTCTAATCCCTGCACATCTGGCTTTCCCTGACCCTCCCCCGGCCGAGGCCCCGCCAGGGCTGGGGCCCGAGCCCCCAGCACAGAGAGTGCCAAGTCATGGTGCTCCAGATGGCTGTGCTGGGCGGGGGCCCGGGCTGGGGCCCGGGCTGGGGCCCGGGCGGGGGACGGGGCCTCGCCGGGGTGGGGAAGGCAATGCAGGGCCTGCCTAGGCCCCAAGCCGCTCCGGTTTCTGGCGGGTGCCGCCATCCCACGGTGGAGGGACGTGGGGGCTGTGCACCAACGGCCGTCGGACAGGGCACCCAGGACACGGCCACATGTCCAGGACACCCACTCCCATAACCCTCACTCCTGCTCCAGGGCGGGAAGGCAGGAGCTCGCCCCGGAGAGGGCAGCCCCCACCCCAGAGCCCCTCGGCCACGTGGCTGAGGCGTCCGTTGGGCTGAATGGGAAACAGCGAGCTGCAGAAGCAGCCATCAGTCCCCGGAAAATTGCAGTGTGGACCCTAACATAGGACGAGACGGAGCCAGGCTCCCAGGGCCCCCACGGTGGCCCAGCGAGGCCGTGCACAGCCATCCTCAGGCTCCTTGCAAGGAGCAAGAGTCTTCTCGAGTTTGTCACTGGTCCCTAAATAGAGCAACCCAATCTCGGCACCCCCGCCCCCCCACACCAAGACTTCTTGGCCTGGACAGTGGCATGCAGCTGGGCCGGGCCAGGCAGCCTGGGCAGGTGGGGAGGCCCCGGGCCCCCATTGGTCTGAGGAGGGCTCCATGCCCTTTCTGAGCGGGGGCCCGGCCTGGGGAGGCCATTTATACCCCTCCCCCGGGCCCACCGGCCCGACTCGCCACCAAGGCCTGACCTCACGCCCAGCGCTGCTGCCCCGACGTTAGGTGAGGCCGGCCGGCCGGTGGAGGCTGCCACAGGCACTCCCGCGCTAGCTAGCGGGGCTCCCCAGGGCGGGGCCAGGGCCAGGGGCTGCCAGTGGCCCTCTGCGGGGGCTTCTGGGGAGCGGGGAGCGGGAGGCAGACATGTTGGGAGGAGGGCTGGGGTGTGACAGGGACCTGGACAGACCCCTGGAGGCCAGGCTTCATTTCTGGGACGCTGGAAGGGGACTTCATGGGTTGAGAGACCCCAGGGCAAAGTGGGGGGGCAGCTTCTTGCATGTACTTGGGCCCAAAGCCGAAGGAGCTGAGTTAAAAATAGCCGGTGGCTCTGGCAGCCACCTGCGCTGGCCCAGCGCGCCCCGCCCTCGGAGACAGCTGCTGCACCCCGCGCCCTGCCTGGGACATTTCTGGGACACTTTCCCCTTCACTTCTAGCCCCAGAGAATTCCAAGACATTGCCACCCCCCCAACCCCCCCAAGTTTGGAGTTGGGGGAGGGGCGGGGTTAGCGTGAGGTGCCGCGCCCGTCACCCGCGGACAGCTCGTGGCCCTGACACCCCGGTTTTCTCTCCCACAGGCTCCAGGCCCAGGACTTCAGGATGGGGGAGTACGTGGAGCCCCCAGTCTTAGTGTCCATCCCACCCCCACCCCCGACTCCCCCGCAGTGGCCCCTGCCCACCCTGGCCACCGCCTACTCCCACCTGCCCCAACACACGACCCTAACTTCTTTCTTCTCTTCCCCGACCCCTGCGCCCCTCCTGGGACAGTGATGAGGTGAGTACCTTCCTGGGGTGAAACTCTGAGGGGATAGGTCAGAGGTCAGGGCTTCGAGCCGGGGGAACCATCCGCCCCACCCGGACACTGACGGGAGAGGAAGTGGCTGCCTGGTGTCGCTGTGGCAGGGGAAGCGGGGCCTGGTCGCGCGGTTGCTTCTTCTTTCTGACTTCTGCACCCCCCTCGCCCCACACTGACGTCCAGCGTTCCCCTCACACCGTGCGGTGTGGCGCCCGGGGACGTCCCCCACCAGGACCCCAGCCGCCCCCTGAGCAGGGCCCCCGGCCCGG